GGGGTTTACTCAGTTTTTCATGGAACCATTTGGGTATATGTTCTTCCACCCTAATTTCAAGTTTTCTCTCTGTTCGACCAATGTAACTCAATTGACACCCACAAGTTGGATCTTGTGTACAACGGCATTGTTTCTTTGATGATTGGGGTTGGGATAGAAGTGATATTGTATCTCAGCACTGGAGCGGCAAGGAATGTTTGGCCAACAGTTGTTTTTAATCAGTCCTGCATGATATCATTCCCTTGATAAGTAAGCTGGATAAACAATTGTAGTTTGGGCACTGTAATTTCATTCAAGGTTCGTTTGGGTGGGATACAGTGTATTGTTTCTATCCTAATTATTTAAATATTACCTTTACCATTCTTTAGTTGTGAATGTGCTTATGCACTATTGAAACTTAGGCCTAAACTGTGAATGAAACCCAGATTTAGCTATCCTTGGAATAACGGTCCTATGTTATCGAGGCGGAAAATATACCCTAACAGTTCCTCAGTCACGTGTCAATAGCGCACTTCCGTCGTCTTAAATTGCGCGGTTCCGGCGACTTCTTTCACCGCCGAGAGTATCCCCCACGCCGCGTGGATTGGGGCTAAACTAGATGGCTGGGACTCACGAGCAGCAGCTACCGCATCTCCTGCAGCTTTCTTCATTTTATTTGCTCATGAGTCCTAGCCATCTAGTTTAGCTCCAATACTCTCAGCGGTGGCGGAAGTTGCAGAAAGTTCGCAATTCGGCGGTGGCGTTATAGTCCCCAGAACTGCGCAGTTGACACGTGACTGAGGATCTGTTAGCGTATATTTTCTGTCTCAATAATTTAGGACCGTTATTCAGAGGATAGCCCCAGATTTTATGCCTGGAAAGCAGTGCACTACCCGTAAGCCACCATGTCATAAGCATTGTCATGTGTGTCTGCTGGGGGATGCTAAAGGCAACTGATTTAGATTCTTGTCTGGTCACTGCTCTGACTGTTCAGATCTCTTGCAGATGGTGTTGTACATGTCTATTCACAACCTTCGGTCTTGTTTGCTTTCATTAATTTCTAATCCAGATGATTTTCCATGCTCTCCCTTTCTCTCTGCTTCTTTTTTTTTACATAAGATGATCTAAGCTACTGAAATTGTTTCACTGTATGTTCTGTAGTTGGCTGTGTGGCTAAGTCGATGCGTAGCCTTCATAATTCCGGGGTGCCGGGTTCGATCCCAGCTGTGGGCCATGTGCCTTGCATTGGTTTCGACAGTGGTATCAGGGGGGCCGACCGTCCAGAAAGCAATGGCAAACTACTGGGCGTAAATTTGCCTTGAGAAACCACACAACAGCCAGGGGGCTGCTGGGGATAGTTTTGCAATGTCCTGTAAAGGATAAGCAGCTAACCTTAGGAAGTATGTTCTGTACAAGATGTCTCTGTTCCTCATTCTGTTACTTCTTCTGATACCTACAGCTTTTATCACATGCTTTGCTTCAGTGGAGATCTTGTTCAACACTAACAATACAGCATTGGTATGTAAATGCTGCACATCATTAGTCATCTGATTTTTATGAACAGGTGATCTGCATGTTGTTTGCCTCATTTATTTTAAATGTTTTAGCAGTAATTTTCTGTTGTAATAAAATGTGCTTTGGCCATTTGCAAACAGTTGTTAGTTCAAGTGTGAACCCGGATAGGCTTCGGCATCATAATTACCTCTCATGTATATTGGTAAGGGAGCCGTTGTGGTGTGGCGAAACAGGCCCCAAACCTGCTTTCAGAACTTCTTGAACTTTTAAAAAAAAAACAAAAAAACTTTTTCTTCCCTTATGGCAGGGTCAGTCAGTTAGTAGGATGTCATTTGCAAAACCTTGACCTTGCTACCACAACAACTTTCCGGAAAACTTATCAATCACAAGCAAGGTGTCCTGCATCCAGTACACCCATCTAGATATCATCCGCCACATCCTGCACCCATCTTCCCAGGGGCTTATCTCTCCATTATTGTTCTCTATAAACTTTCCTGACCAGAATATTTCAATTTTCTGTGTTTTATCGTCTTTAATAGCCAACCTTCTTCAGTATTCAGTTCTTGAAGAATGTATGCATTTGTTCTTTCTTTTACCCATGATATTCTTAGAACCGGTCTATACCATTTTTATTCAAAGGCATTAATGCGCTGTTCAGCTTTTTTTTAGTAAGTGTCCAGGTCTCTCAGGCGTATGTTTCAATGTGAAAGATGCATGTTCTTAGAAATCTAATTTTTGTAGTTTTGTCTGCTCCATTTTCTTTCATGACTGTAATGGTTTCTTGCCAAGTTTTTCATAAAGTAGTTTGCCATTGCTTTCCTACTGTGACTAATAGTCAGTGGCCATAGCAGATTGCTCCTATTGATGAGATCATCTGCCTATCGCCGCAGAGTGCACGACCATAACCAACAACAATCTGTCTACTACTCTCACACTCCATCCATCACCTGCTTCCTTGGCTTCATGTAACCCTGATTGGAAAAAGGGGGGGGTGGGGGAGGGGCCAAACGGGCAAGTTAGAGACACTGAATACAGGGTTAGTCTTGGTTTCTCACCACTAAAACCTCTCTCTCTCTCTCTGCAAAATTCAGACTTAGTCTTGTTTATTCACCTATGGTTTTGTCCCCTTCCTAATTCTCAGTCAGTGGATGGGTGCCATTTGAGACTCGGAGGGAAGGCAAGATGAGTAGTTAACCATATGACAACAGGCACCATCAGTGTGGAAACTCTTGGCTCTCTGTCGAGGAGGGAGACGGAGCTAATATGGGCTTGTTTTATATTATTTTATTTATTTTATATGCTGATTTGTATATATTTGATCATATCCATGTATAAACTGTTGTGTACAATATTAAAGATGTTTGAATAGTGAGATTTGTTTGTTAGAAGGCCACTTATGACAGTTTTTGAGCAAGTGAGAAATATCACATGTGCGTGTGTGTGTGTGCACACTGTGAGTGTGTGTGTGCACACTGTAAGTGTGTGTGTGTTTGTGTGCACACTGTAAGTGTGTGTGTGTTTGTGTGCACACTGTGAGTGTGTGTGTGTGTTTGTGTGCACACTGTGAGTGTGTGTTTGTGTGCACACTGTGAGTGTGTATGTAAGTGTGTGTTTGTGTGCACACTGAGTGTGTTTATGTGTGCACACTGAGTATGTGAGTGTGTGTTTGTGTGCACACTGTGAGTGAGTGTGTGTGTGTTTGTGTGCACACTGTGAGTGAGTGTGTGTGTGTTTGTGTGCACACTGTGAGTGTGTGTGTTTGTGTGCACACTGTGAGTGTGTGTGTTTGTGTGCACACTGTGAGTGTGTGTGTGTGCACACTGAGTGTGTGTATAAACAAATCAAATGTAGATAAAATTGTAAACAAAAGAAAATAAGTTTTAAAGGGATTTCTTTTCTATTAAATAATTTCTCTTGCATAATTCGATTTCTAAAGTTTCTAAATATGCCATAGAAGATATAGTCAAGATGAGGGAAAAGAAAACTTAGAAACTTAGTTTATTTGATTTCTAAAGTTTCTAAATATGCCATAGTAGATATAATGATGAGGGAAAAGAAAACAGAAACTTGGTGAGAACTAACAAACTTGATAGGAAAAGAGCACGAGGAAGACATGGAGATTACACTGATGGTTTAGCCTCATGACGTAACTGGCACAAGAATTTAGACCTGATTGAAGACTAGTGAGACTGTGAACGAACACTGGTTACGCTTATGTGCATTACATATGCTGGTTTTTGGGAAGACTAACCGGTTAAACAGATCCCTAATAAAGTCAGATCTGTCGATCAAAGGGTGTAAATATTACTACTGTGCTGTAAACAGGTACAACACAAATTCAGATCATTCGGATGAACGACAAAGAAGAAGATATGCTGATAATACTTTGCTGTAGTATTGGAAGATGCATTCTTGTAATGGTCCCTTTTCTACGCCTTTAGACGAATTGGGAATATCGGGCTAGACCTATATTTTTATAGACCAATCAGCACTTGGTAAGTGATGTGGTCAGCATCACGCTGACCGCCTTTACTTCCTAGGACTCCGCCTGGTACCCACTCAAGGCTTGGGTTGACCTGGGAGTCAAGGTCATTTTTAAAAAAAGCCTGCGTCAGCCAGGACTCGAACCAACAACCTTCCAGTTCACAGCCGGGCGTCTAGCAGCCAACGTGACTCCCATTCTTGTAATGGAACAATAACTATATCCAAAGCAATATGTTGTTTTGCATCTATAGTACTCACAGTCTGAGCCTTCAATCCATTTTCTATCCCGCACAATCATTTTTGAAAAAAGCCTGGCTCAGCCAGGACTCGAACCAACAACCTTCCAATCCACAGCCAGGCGTCTAGCAGCCAACGTGACTCCCATTCTTGTAATGGAACAATAACTATATCCAAAGCAATATGTTGTTGTGCATCTATAGTACTCACAGTCTGAGCCTTCAATCCATTTTCTATCCCGCACAATCTTTTCAATATCATAGATGGAATTGAGTAACAACAACATATTGTGCCGTCTCCACAAGGTTGGCTACAACACACCTACTGCTGTCTTTGAGAAAATCTTGTGCTGAGGCCCTAATCTCAACCACCGTCGGATTCTTATACAACTATCTCAAAACCACAAAAATTATCTTTAAAGAATAAACAGTCCACGGCAGAAATTGAAGCCAAATGTTCAAGGGTTAAATGTAAAAGACCATTGTCCATGCCTTCAAGCATACAGGGCATATAGTGCTAGATCTATGCTTTATAGAGCAATCGGCCCTCGGTGAGTGAGGCGATTAACATCTCTTGGCCAAGTTGTACTTCCCAGGACTTTTACCTGGTACCCATTTAAGGCTGGTGAGCTGAGGTCATTTTTTACAAAAAGTCTGACTCCACTCAAGGATTATGAAATTGTGAAATGCCTTCACTAACCTCTAAGCCACTAGGTGCCCAGTAATTATAACCACAGCTTAACAGTAAAGATACAAAATGGCACACTTGCAATGCGTATATTTATATTATTTGATAATTTCTTCTGGGTCAGTAGAAGTTATAAATGTATAAAGTCTCCGGGCTTGTTCTTTGCCAACCTTCCTGTTGGTTGCAATCACACTTGCATGTCGCCTCACCTGAAATCATAATTTCAGGGCATTGATAATTTCAGAACAATAGAAGAGTAGTACAAGGATTAGGAGCAGTACAAGATGAAGTGCTGTACAAGGATGAAGAGCTATACAAGGATAAAGAGCTGTACAAGGGTGATGAGCTGTACAAGGATGAAGAGCTGTACAAGGATGAAGAGCAGTACAAGGATAAGGAGCAGCACAAGATGAAGAGCTGTACAAGGATAAAGAGCTGTACAAGATGGAGAGCTGTACATGGATAAGGAGCAGCACAAGATTAAGAGCTATACAAGGATGAAGAGCAGTACAAGATGAAGAGCAGTACAAGATGAAGAGCTGTACAAGGATGAAGAGCTGTACAAGATGAAGAGCTGTACAAGGATGAAGAGCAGTACAAGATGAAGAGCTGTACAAGGATGAAGAGCAGTACAAGATGAAGAGCTGTACAAGGATGAAGAGCGGTACAAGGATGAAGAGCTGTACAAGGATGAAGAGCTGTACAAGATGGAGAGCTGTACAAGGATGAAGAGCAGTACAAGGATAAGGAGCAGAACAAGATGAAGAGCTGTACAAGGATGAAGAGCAGTACAAGATTAAGAGCTGTACAAGGATGAAGAGCAGTACAAGATGAAGAGCTGTACAAGGATGAAGAGCAGTACAAGGATAAAGAGCGGTGCAAGATGAAGAGCGGTACAAGGATGAAGAGCAGTACAAGATGAAGAGCTGTACAAGGATGAAGAGCAGTACAAGATGAAGAGCTGTACAAGGATGAAGAGCTGTACAAGGATGAAGAGCAAAAGCTGTACAAGGATAAAGAGCAAAAGCTGTACAAGGATGAAGAGCAAAAGCTGTACAAGGATGAAGAGCTGTAGAAAGATGAAGAGCTGTACAAGGATAAAGAGCAAAAGCTGTACAAGGATGAAGAGCTGTACAAAGATGAAGAGCTGTACAAGGATGAAGAGCTGTACAGGGATGAAGAGCTGTACAAGGATGAAGAGCAAAAGCTGTACAAAGATGAAGAGCTGTAGAAAGATGAAGAGCTGTACAAGGATAAAGAGCAAAAGCTGTACAAGGATGAAGAGCTGTACAAAGATGAAGAGCTGTACAAGGATGAAGAGCTGTACAAGGATGAAGAGCTGTACAAGGATGAAGAGCAAAAGCTGTACAAAGATGAAGAGCTGTACAAGGATAAAGAGCAAAAGCTGTACAAGGATGAAGAGCAAAAGCTGTACAAGGATGAAGAGCAAAAGCTGTACAAGGATGAAAAGCTGTACAAAGATAAGGAGCTGTACAAGGATGAAGAGCAAAAGCTGTACAAGGATGAAGAGCAAAAGCTGTACAAGGATGAAGAACAAAAGCTGTACAAGGATGAAAAGCTGTACAAAGATAAGGAGCTGTACAAGGATGAAGAGCAAAGGCTGTACGAGGATGAAGAGCAAAAGCTGTACAAGGATGAAAAGCTGTACAAAGATAAGGAGCTGTACAAGGATGAAGAGCAAAAGCTGTACAAGGATAAAGAGCAAAAGCTGTACAAGGATGCACAAGTGTGAAAGACTGAAGCCTTAAATCTAATTTTTTCTTTTTAAATCTTCAGGTGTCTGAACTGGAACAGATATTGACAATCAAGAACCTCAAATTCTGTGTCAAATAATATTTTAATAATGCTGGCATTAGCCGGCGGTTTGAGATTCCATGTACCTCTTCATTTGTATTACTATTCCTCTCTGCCCCTAACACAAGGTGAATGTCTTTCTTCCACCTTGTCTCTTGTCCTTTCGTATAAACTGTATGTTTTTTCCCTAATTGTTTTGTGAGTGATCAGTAAGATCTGCTAAGTCACGTAAAGAACCATTTTAACTTTTTCAGACCCAAGGAATGCATCATACGTTCATAGGTTTCTACCTAGAAGTCGATTTTACATCTCTCATTACCACCCCTTGGGTCTGTAATGCTGAACTCCTGGGACTGAAGGAGTTAATGCCTGTGGCACATTGGTCATATGATGCTAGACTCATTTTCATAAACCAATCAGCCCTCGATGAGTGATGCAGTCAACATCACACTGACTGTTCAGGATGAGTGATGCAGTCAAAATCACCCTGGCTGTCCAGGATGAGTGATGCAGTCAATGTCACACTGACTGTCCAGGACGAGTGATGCAGTCAAAATTACACTGACTGTCCAGGACTGGTGATGCAGTCAAAATCACACTGACTGTTCAGGACGGGTGATGCAGTCAAAATCACACTGACTGTCCAGGACGAGTGATGCAGTCAAAATCACACTGACTGTCCAGGACGGGTGATGCAGTCAAAATCACACTGACTGTCCAGGACGAGTGATGCAGTCAAAATCACATTGATTGTCCAGGAATCACACTGGCTGTCCAGGATCCTACCTGGTACCCTTTTAGGGTTGAGTTCACTGGGAGCCAAAGTAATTTAAAAAAAAAAATTGGAAGCAATACGGATTCAAACCCACAACCTTAGAGCCCAAAGGTGAGCATCTACCCACTACATCACCAAAGCTTTACTCTACTTCTACTGTCTTTTATTTCCCAATGCACTCAAGCCAAACCCTCTTGTCTTTCATTATCTTCTGCAGTGCCCTTCATGTCTTCTCATAGTATTCATGCCTCTAATTCTCTTCTGTGTTTATAAGTATCCCTCTATTCCAATAGCCCTGTGGGTTTCAGAAGGACTTTCTAGTGATATTTTAAACAGGTTTCCTGACTTGTGTCCTGTCCACAGCCAGCATCTTTTTCAAATATTTTGATTCATTACAATATGTTTAGCTCTCTCTGTCTCTCTCTCTCTGTTCTACATTGGTGATTCTGTCACACCATTTTACTTTGGTATTTTTCAGAATAATGTGTATTCTGCACAGCCATTAATGACTATTTGTAGTTTATCATCAGCTGTTATAGTCTTCTTGTTGCTTCTGATCCATGCAGCCACCCAATCTTAAATACAATTATTCATTTTCTAATTTTCTCAAAAACTATTTACTGATCTATGATTACTAATTTCTTCCATAAAAAAAAAATTAAGTTTGCTTTGTATCGCTAGGCATTGAAGTGTAACAGATGATAGGTAGCTTAGTAACGTGGTGTGCTGTGATGTGAAATCTTAGGCTTTCATTAACTTCATCAGTCCATTTTCTTCTAAATCTTCCTCTGCATCTTGATGACTCCATTATCATGTTGTATGCTCTCGCTGCTAGTATTGTTGGATTCATTGTCACTTGGTGGTTAAACCATTTCAGTCTTTGTCAATTTTTTTTACTAATAAAAATTTTCAACATTGAAATCCTAATCATTTCTGAAACTGTCAAAATAACAATTTATCATTCACAGCTGCTTATTGCTTTTGTGTTCAATTCTTACTTACATTCAATTCACTCAGCAACTTTTCTGTTTCCCTGCTTGAAGAGTCAGATTTACATGCCTGTAATACAGGATAAGATAACAAAAACATTTGGAGAAAAACAATAAACATCTTGACAAAACTGGAAAATAAAGTAATTGTAGTTATGTATGACTACGAACACCACACAGCACTGAATAAAAGTACATGAGACAGAAGGTTGTGGATACATATGACTACAAATACCACACAGCACTGAATAAAAGTACAGGAGACAGAAGGTTGTGGATACATATGACTACAAACACCACACAGCACTGACTGATTTTATTTTTTAAAAAAATAAAAATACATGAGACAGAAGGAACTTGTGGACTGCCCACATCAGAAGGAGACAATTTACATTCTTATCATGACTACAAATACCACACAGCACTGAATGAAAGTACATGAGACAGAAGGTTGTGGATACATATGACTACAAACACCACACAGCAATGACTGAAAGTACATGAGACAGAAGGTTGTGGATACATATGACTACAAACACTACACAGCAGTGACTAAAAGTACATGAGACAGAAGGATGTGGATACATATGACTACAAACACCCACACAGCACTGACTGTAGGAAGAACATAAATAATTAAAAACCAAGCATGCAAGTGACTGTCATCCTAGAACATGCCCAGATCTTCATCTTGAACAGAATGTGACTAACCTGAAACAACAATGATGGAGATGGATAGGCACTGACTATAGCATCGGCCATGTCAGCTCCAACATTTTTTAATTGCATCAGCTGATGTTTCCAGACATTGCGGAGACCTTGACCTTGTTTGTTGACAGTGAGACCTGAAGTTCCTTCTTCTAAGAAGGAAAATATGTTGTCAAAGCGGTCTTTCCTGAAATAAAACACCACACACAAGAAATCAGCAATCTGCACACAATTAATATGGTTTAACACTTTCCCCAAGGGAACATTACCAAAATTCAGTCAAGACTCTGTGGGAATTCCCGAAAAAATCTCTTAAAAAATGTGTTTTACACAGGTCACTGGTATACTGTTTTTTGTGTGTTTTAAAATATATACAAACCTATAAAGGGAGTAATCAGTAAACATGAACAAAGGGAAGCATTAAATGGAATACTCCCTGTGTGGGTCCTGGGGCCCTATTTTTGAGAACAAAGAATAGAATTACTGCCCCCTAACAAGAATGTTGTAGAAGGTGACTAATCTGGTATGTGTTCTTCAAAGCCAGAGTGCATCTGCCTGGGAGGCATGGAACCAACAGTCTGCACACAAATAAGCCAGATCTATAAGACTGATGTAAAGGCAAAACTTAAGTTCTGGATCAATAAAGTTAAGAAGTGATTGAACAACCCTAATTTTCCCCTGGAGTTTACATCCAGTAAATGCTAAATAGAAGAAAAAGAAACTGAATAAATTCCATGAGGTCTCAAAAAAAAAAAAAAAACACACACTGATCAGGTGATGCATGCCATGACCTATAACCTCTATCATTGAGGCAAGTGGAAATTAATGACATCAACTTGGCTGTAAAAAGCCATTTGGTTGACAAGGTAACCCCCTTTAATGGTATTTGTTTTTAATAACTTTAATAATACCTTGACCTCCAAAATGCTGTGCATATGTGAAAGCCAGTAACATTAACTGTGCATCCCATAAATCACAACCACAGTTCCTATCACAAACTCTAGGCTAAATGTAGTCCTACTGTAGAAACAACCATTGGGGCGCAAGGCAGCAGGCATTCACATAAGCTAAGCACCAATACAATAAAAGTAAAGGATTCGTTCTCAGGCCTTCAGGTGTGTTGGGCTAGACCTATATTTTATAGATAAACTGACACTTGGTGGGTGATGTTGTCAGCAGTATGCCAGCCATCTTTACTTCCCAGGACTTTTACCTGGTACTCATTTAAGGCTGTGTTGACCTGGGAGCCAAAGTCATTTCTGAATAAAGTCTAGCACCGTCTGGATTTGAACCTACGATCTTCCGATCCACAGGCGAGCATCTAGCAGCAACACCACCGCAGCTCCCACCAACACAATCAATTTAAATAAATGAAGCGGTGAAACGTACTTGTTTGGTTTCTCAATAACTGCTTTGGTAGAGAGCTTAATCTGCTGTGCAAGCTCCTCGTCGGTGTCTACCTGCTGGATGATGCAACCTGTGAACAGCTGAACCTCCACAAATGCCTTGAACAAACAATAAGTATGTGTTATTTTTGTGTCAAATGATTCCCTCTTGCATTATATGTTCTGAGTTGAGAACTGATATCACAGCACTCAGGTCACTTCCATATGCGCTCTGTCCTCACCTTCAGCAACCAGCAAAGAGCTTCATCTATCTATCTATCTGTCAGTCTGTCAATAATCTTTGTTTTTAAATCAGTTTAATGCATATAGGTTAGTCTGTCTCAACCAGCCCCTGTACCAGTGGTAGCACAGTTGATGGCATCTTTGCATAAAAAAATATATTCACACAATAAAATAATAATTAAGAAGGTTTTGATTTGGAGCTCCCTCGTACGTTTAAAAAACAAAAAAAAGATGCCCAGCCTTTACCTGACTTCACAAACCAAACCCAGCACTGGCTGATGTGTGGTTTTACCAGGTCATTTTACATTTAGTAGTATCTGTGAAGAGCTGCTGGTCGAACGGTTAGAACGCTGTCCTGTCAAGAAGGAGACCCGGGTTTGGATCCTCGGCAAGGCTGGGGAATTTGTTTCTGTGGGGGGCAACAACAACAAAAATCCTCACCTGCACAGTCATGGCGACATCACTAACCATGCAGCCGTAAATCCTCAGGCTCAAAGACCCCCCTGCCTACACCACATATGTGGTATCATAAAGGCAGTAATTAGCAGTTTCTTAGTGTTGTATTTATCAGTAGTATCTCTGGGGGAGGAGTCTCCATGGTGAAGTGGTCAAACTGCTTGCCTCTAGCTTTGAAGGTCCGGGGTTCATTTCACGGCTGGGCCGCTTGGTTCACAAGGCACTTGTTACGGAGACCCCTGGAGATCATGATGTCCATGTCATGAGACAGGGTAAATGGGGAAAAGTAAGCAATTGCTAGGATTGGGTGAAGTATGGTGTGGCCTTGTGTCACAGGGCCACCACAGTAACCAAGAAGGGCAACCTGGGTCACCTTGAAATGTCCTGGCCAATGGGAATCAGGTGACGCTGCGACAGGCCTAGCAAGTCAGCAACTGATTTATTATCAGTACAAAGAATATACTGAGAGAAAAATGGATGATAGTCTTAACCACAACAAAGAAACATCTCATACAAAGCCTATTCATCCCCAACCTATGCTGCCAGTGTCAGACATGGTTACTTGCAACAAACAAGAAGAGAAAATTAATAATGACAGAAATGAGATGTCTGTAAAAGGATACAGGAGTGACCAGAGGAAATATAACAAGGAATGAGATCACAGTAGAGAATGTCGGCCCAAAACCAATACTAAATTACATACAATGACAGCAAATGAAATTGTTTGCCCACTCATAGAGAATGTCATGCGAAGCCATACAAAACAAAGCATACACCAAGAGAGGAGAGGGATGCAGAGCACTAGGTAGACCAAGAACAAGATGGAAAGACACCATCTGAGAAACTCTACATAGCATGACGTATCTATGGTTGAGGCGCCAGAAGAAAAAAAAGCAGAATCTTATATCTCCCTCAACACTTGAAGTGGTATAAGAGGAACTGAAGAAGTAATCAGTCTTAGCTTTCTGAATGGTACTTTGTTCATATCATTATACAGATCAACATAAAGCAGTCTGACTTTGAACCCCTTTGTGTTGGGATTGTGAAACTATGTTCACAACACCATAGATATAGATACAAAGAAAAATTGTAATACACAATTACATAGACAAGATAATTAGCTTACTGGTATTCCATCCATAAGACTGACAACTCTTAAAAGACAAACAAATAAGGTATGCTTGGTTTCAACCAGCTTAGAAACATGAACACACTGGGGAAATTATTAACAAGCTAACAAAACACAACATTCTCGTAGACAGAGAGACACAATGGCATATACATCTAAACACATTGTGATATACTGACCTCTTCAGCGTCGCCTGCAGTTATGTGAGGACCAGTTAAAACATTTTTATTTTTTCCTCTGGCAGGTTTTCCTGTTACAGCTTCTCTATGCTTCTGTTTGGCGGCAGTTTTGTGGCTACTGGAAACAAAATAAACACAAACAAATACGATATTTGAATCAGCTTATCCACTAAACATAAATAGATATGATATTTGAATCAGCTTATCCATGAAACATAAACAGATATGATATTTGAATCAGCTTATCCATGAAACATAAACAGATATGATATTTGAATCAGCTTATCCATGAAAACATAAACAGATATGATATTTGAATCAGCTTATCCTAGAAACACAAACAGATATGATGCATGAATCAGCTTATCCATTAAACATAAACAGACATGATGGCATGAATCAGCTTATCCATAAAACACAAACAGATATGATGAATGAACCAGCTTATCCATGAAACATAACTAGATATGATAAAAAACAAATAAATTATATCTTGATAAACTAATAATTATCCATGTGTTAAACAAATGAACAAAGAAAACTGCTTCTCTCCTCTGTTTTATTTTTCTATAAATCTTAATTTTAAAACCTTGTCACACACACACACAAAAACTTGACCACCTAAATCAAGATCTGCCGAGCTCTCAACAAAACAAAACTGTTAAATTCTTGTATACAAGTATTTGTAGATAAAATGAGATCACATAAGACTTTAAACATGCTAAGATTATAACAAAACTATCAGGTAATTTCCCATTCCACACAAGATAAGATAATGCATGAAGACAGATTAACAGGACACTGTGGTAGTGCTGGACCAACAGTCGCAGTTTTGAATCCCCATCCAGGCCAATTCTGACTGGGCTCCCAGTGGACCTAGCCTAGCAATGTGTACCAGTAACTGTTCTAGAAAGGGAAGCAGACTATTGACCACATTACTACAAACAAACAAATGGAGCTCGCACCAAATACACCTTCAGAGTATAAAAACAGGTATAGTGGAATCCCAATCATCATCATCAATTTCCACTTCTGATGCTAAGAGTAATGGGGAGGAACAGTTTGCAATCCAATGCTAGATGGGCAGCAATGGCTAATGTCATTCCATGTTGATGTAGAAGATCTTTCATGTGTAGTGCCGGAGTTGATAGCCGTCTGGCTGCATTCTTATTAATGACCAAATCATTTGATCTTCTGTTTCTCAAAGAATTTGCTCCATCATGTTTTTCCCAGTCTGTCTGATAGTATCATTTCTAATGTTGTCTCGAATAGTTAGATTGGCGACTTTTCTCAGGCATTTTATTTCACAGGTGGTAAGTTTGGTACCCTTGCATATGTTCTAAAACTTTTCAAGACCCTTGGAATTATATCAAAAAGGATTATACCAAGGGAGAATGATTAATCTGTTCCTATGAAAAAATCTTATTGTTATTTTGTTAAGACATTGATGGATTCGTTTAAAAAACAACAAGTGAATACATCCTAATACTAAAAAAAAGAAATAAAAAAGCAATTAGATAAAGAAAATGATAATTAAACATCACTTTAACGTGCTCAAAAGAGTGGAGTACCTACTAGATGGTGCTGAGAAGGAAGGAGAAGGAGGAAATGTTATTATTTGACAGGAGAATCCCCTTCTAATAAAATTTCAGGACTCTGGTGTATGTATTTTTTGACTGCCTCTTATCCCTACTTAGACTTGGTTGAGGTTCATGCGAATTATTTACCAAACAAAGGTCGTACACCAGGCAACATTTTTCGCATCTTAACAGGACATATACTGAGCTGGACGTATTAGAAAGTAGATGTATACAGAGATACCACTGTACTTCACTTTTTAAATAATCCAGCACAGTGACATCTAACTTAGGAAATTTACCTGAAATATTTGTGAAGTCCAACAATGAAAACAGACAGATTTTTATCACCAACAGCTGACTGGAGGGAGCTCACCCAGTCTCTCAGTGACATGTGATTACTTGCTTGTCCTTGCCTCATCTGTCTCAGTTAACAACAAGCATGAAAAATAAGTTATTTTTATTTAAAGAAACGAAAACAACTAAACCTGCACTTGAACACAAAGGAACAAAAATGAGTAAAAGTTTAGGGTTAAATCAAATAAATAAATGTGCAAAAAGTCTTTCCATTGTCCAGAATAAAGAATAACATAAATATGCCCAGCAATACAAGTGTTTCAGCCTGGCCACAATAATTATATATCACTGCTATTGTCCACATCTTGGTTACAAGCCTGAATCATCTTGTAGAGTAGCTCTGCTAACATGCACAAAAGTGTGCCAGATTGCCATTTTGGCAAAAGAAGCGGTAAATGTGGCATCAAAGGTGATTTTCATCCATTCGGGAAGACACACTCCAGTGTACTTCTCTTGCCATTGTGTCATTATTATAGTGCTATGGTAGTTAATGAGTGCCTTAAGCAACCACTTACCTGAATGTAGCTGTTGATCATACAGACAGCTTCTTCTGCATGCATCACGGCCATTATTTCTTTCTGAACAACTTCACGAGCTGATGGCTTTGAATAGAAAAAAAAATGATGAAATAAGTCTATATATGCAATGATATATATATATATATATATATATATATATATATATATATATATATATATATATATATATATATATATATATATATATATATATATATATATATATATATATATATATATATATATATATATATATATATATATATATATAATAGGATACCGTATATAACAGGATACCACATATAATAGGATACCACATATAATAGGATACCATATATAATAGGATACCACATATAACAGGATACCACATATAATAGGATACCACATATAATAGGATACCACATATAATAGGATACCACATATAACAGGATACCACATATAATAGGATACCACATATAATAGGATACCACATATAACAGGATACCACATATAATAGGATACCACATATAATAGGATACCATATATAATAGGATACCACATATAATAGGATACCACATATAATAGGATACCACATATAATAGGATACCACATATAATAGGATACCACATATAATAGGATACCACATATAATAGGATACCACATATAATAGGATACCACATATAATAGGATACCACATATAATAGGATACCACATATAACAGGATACCACATATAATAGGATACCATATATAATAGGATACCATATATAATAGGATACCACATATAACAGGATACCACATATAATAGGATACCACATATAATAGGATACCACATATAATAGGATACCACATATAATAGGATACCACATATAATAGGATACCATATATAATAGGATACCACATATAATAGGATACCATATATAATAGGATACCATATATAATAGGATACCACATATAACAGGATACCACATATAATAGGATACCACATATAATAGGATACCATATATAATAGGATACCACATATAATAGGATACCACAAATAATAGGATACCACATATAATAGGATACCACATATAACAGGATACCACATATAATAGGATACCACATATAATAGGATACCACATATAATAGGATACCACATATAACAGGATACCACATATAATAGGATACCACATATAACAGGATACCATATATAATAGGATACCACATATAATAGGATACCACATATAACAGGATACCACATATAATAGGATACCACATATAACAGGATACCATATATAATAGGATACCACATATAATAGGATACCACATATAACAGGATACCACATATAATAGGATACCACATATAACAGGATACCATATATAATAGGATACCACATATAATAGGATACCATATATAATAGGATACCATATATAATAGGATACCATATATAATAGGATACCACATATAACAGGATACCACATATAATAGGATACCACATATAACAGGATACCACATATAATAGGATACCACATATAATAGGATACCACATATAATAGGATACCACATATAACAGGATACCACATATAATAGGATACCACATATAACAGGATACCATATATAATAGGATACCACATATAATAGGATACCACATATAACAGGATACCACATATAATAGGATACCACATATAACAGGATACCATATATAATAGGATACCACATATAATAGGATACCACATATAACAGGATACCACATATAATAGGATACCACATATAACAGGATACCATATATAATAGGATACCACATATAATAGGATACCACATATAACAGGATACCACATATAATAGGATACCACATATAACAGGATACCATATATAATAGGATACCATATATAATAGGATACCATATATAACAGGATACCATATATAATAGGATACCATATATAATAGGATACCACATATAACAGGATACCATATATAATAGGATACCACATATAATAGGATACCACATATAATAGGATACCATATATAATAGGATACCATATATAATAGGATACCATATATAATAGGATACCATATATAATAGGATACCATATATAATAGGATACCATATATAATAGGATACCATATATAATAGGATACCACATATAATAGGATACCACATATAATAGGATACCACATATAATAGGATACCACATATAATAGGATACCACATATAATAGGATACCACATATAATAGGATACCACATATAATAGGATACCACATATAATAGGATACCACATATAATAGGATACCACATATAATAGGATACCACATATAATAGGATACCACATATAATAGGATACCATATATAATAGGATACCATATATAACAGGATACCACATATAACAGGATACCACATATAATAGGATACCACATATAATAGGATACCACATATAATAGGATACCACATATAAATAGGATACCACATATAATAGGATACCACATATAATAGGATACCACATATAATAGGATACCACATATAATAGGATACCACATATAATAGGATACCACATATAATAGGATACCACATATAATAGGATACCACATATAATAGGATACCACATATAATAGGATACCACATATAATAGGATACCACATATAATAGGATACCACATATAATAGGATACCACATATAATAGGATACCACATATAATAGGATACCACATATAATAGGATACCACATATAATAGGATACCACATATAATAGGATACCACATATAATAGGATACCACATATAACAGGATACCATCTATAATAGGATACCACATATAATAGGATACCACATATAATAGGATACCATATATAATAGGTTACCACATATAACAGGATACCACATATAACAGGATACCACATATAACAGGATACCATCTATAATAGGATACCACATATAATAGGATACCACATATAACAGGATACCACATATAATAGGATACCATATATAATAGGTTACCACATATAACAGGATACCACATATAATAGGATACCACATATAACAGGATACCATCTATAATAGGATACCACATATAATAGGATACCACATATAACAGGATACCACATATAATAGGATACCACATATAACAGGATACCATCTATAATAGGATACCACATATAATAGGATACCACATATAACAGGATACCATATATAATAGGATACCACATATAATAGGATACCACATATAATAGGATACCACATATAATAGGATACCATATATAATAGGTTACCACATATAATAGGATACCATATATAATAGGATACCACATATAATAGGATACCACATATAATAGGATACCACATATAATAGGATACCACATATAATAGGATACCACATATAATAGGATACCACATATAATAGGATACCACAGATAATAGGATACCACATATAATAGGATACCACATATAATAGGATACCACATATAATAGGATACCACATATAATAGGATACCACAGATAATAGGATACCACATATAATAGGATACCATATAAAACAGGATACCACACACAACAGTTCACAGCAGTAAGATCTGGACAGAACATTTTCTTTCCTTGTCTTTTTGTCAGAGAGTAGAGAAATCTGAGGAGAAGACTTGCACATTATCAAAGGCTAACCTGCAAAAAATTAACACCTGTGAAAAGAGATGCCTGAGAAAAGCCAACAACCTAACCATCCAAGACAAAGTTAGAAATGATATTATCAGACAGACTGTAGGAACAATGCCATGCAGTAAATTCACAGAGAAACAGAAGATTAGCTGGTTTGATCATTTAGTGCCTCTCAAAGGCCAACCCCACGTCCTCGTCCTGAGAGGTGGTAACAGAACAAAGTAGGGGATTGCAAGGTGTGGGCGAAGTATGGTGTGGCCTCGTGCCACGGGACGCTACGGTAGCCATGAAGGCCACCCTGGGTCACCCCGAAACGTCCTGGCCAACGGGGCTCTGGTGAAGTTGCGATAGGCCTAGCAAGCCGGCAATGGATGTATTACCGCTACAAAAATCAAAATGAGATATAAACGGACTGATCAAACGGTATCTGACCATGGCAATGTTAAGGGACTACGAGACAGAACAGCGAAATACAAGACTGCAACACTTAACACCGCTGGCCTGGGAAATAAAACAGAAGAGATTATTGAAATTACGGAAAAAAGGAAAATCAAGTTAATGGGGCTAGCTGACATAAGACGCAAGGGAAATATTAATAAGAAAATACACAGAGGCTACTTACTAACATATGCAGGAGGAGAAACATCGAAGAATGGAGTGGGTTTCCTGGTACATCCGGACATATCTAACTACATATTAGACATACATTATCACTCAGATAGAATTATTACTCTGAAAATTAAAAGAGGAGAACAAGCTGAAAAACATATATACAGATATATGCACCATGCAATGATAATTATACAGAAGAGCAGAAAGATGAATTCTTTGACGATCTGTCTGATGAGATAAAGAAAGTTGAGGGAAGCAGCATACTATATGTGATGGGTGACTTCAACGGGAGGGTAGGAAATAATAGAAGAGAATACGAACAGTTTTTAGGTCCATATGCAGCTAAGAACAGTGCTAGAAATGGAAATGGTCAAAGAATATTGGATCTATGCAGCCAGCACAATCTTTTTATTACGAACACGTTCTTTGACCATAGAGATTCACAACTTTACACTTGGTACAAATGGAATGATGTCTCCATCAAGAGCCAGATTGACTTTATACTTACCAGAGTTCAAGGAAGAAGGAGAATTCTTGATTCAAGAGCAATCCCTAGTGGTCTATGTAATACTGACCATAAAATAGTTGTGTTAACAGCAAAACATCTTACATTAAAGAAACACAGAAAGAAATTAAACAAAAACAAGGATCTCATCAAGATAGCAAATCTGAAACAGGAAGGAGTAAAAGAACAGTTACAACAGAAAGCAGAGACAGCATTCAAACAACTTCCACAAGTAGTTGGCAATATTGAGGAAGAATGGAGTATATATAAAAACACTATGCTTAGTATTGCAGAAGAATTATGTGGAAAACGGAAGAGTGGAAACAGACGGGAAAATAACAAATATTCACCTTGGTGGTGCAAAGAAGTAAAAGAAGCAATTAAAAAGAAAAAAGACTTATATAAACAGTGGTTAAAATCAAAGAAAGAAGAAGATTATATAAACTATAGACTGCAAAGGAGAGAAACCAACAGGAGTGTCAAGAAAGCAAAACAAGCATCCTGGGAACATTTCGGTGAGTCACTAGCAGAAAATGAGAAAACAGCCAGCAGAAAATTTTTTAAAGTAGTTAAAAATATGCGGAAAAGAGATGAGAGCTACAACCCCACTGAAATAATAAATGATAAGACAGGAAGGCCATTGATAGATCCACCTGAGGTAGCAGAAAGATGGAGGGAATACTTCAATGAGCTCTTTAATCCTCTAGGAGATCATCAGGAAAGAACAACTGAAGAGCACAGAGCAACAGTGTTAGAACCACACATACTAATGGATGAAATAGAAAAAGTCATTAAACAGTCTCCCAAATATAAAGCACCAGGAGCTGATAGATTACCAACAGAAATAATTCAAGCAGCAGGTGAAAGCAGCATCAGATGGCTTCACCGAATATTTAATGCAGCATGGGTACAACAAACGGCCCCTATTGATTGGCAACATGCAATAGTTATACCATTGTGGAAGAACAAAGGAAGCAAACGAGAATGCGGTCAATATCGAGGCATCTCTCTTTTAAGCCATGTTGGCAAAATGTATGCCAAGATAATAGAAACAAGACTGAGACCAGTGATAGAACCACAGCTGGCAGAAGAACAGATGGGATTTAGGAGAAATAGAAGCTGCACAGATGCAATCTTCACACTTAAACAGTTAATAGAAAAGAACATTGAATACAATAAGAACTTATTTGTGGCATTCGTAGACCAGGAGAAGGCATTTGACAGAGTCGACAAACAATTATTATGGAAAATAATGGCAAGATATGGAGTAAGCGAACACCTCATTGAAGTGTGCAAAAGTTTATACAGGGATTGTAGAAGTGTAGTTAGAATAAATCAGGGAACATCTCATCCTTTCACAGTGACATCTGGAGTAAGACAGGGGTGTGTCTTATCACCACTGCTGTTTATCACCTACATCGACAGTATATGCAAGAATGCCAAGCCCATGAATGAAGATCTTAGTAAGATCAACGAATTACTCTTTGCAGATGACCAGGCCTTGATAGCAGATACAGTCATGAAATTGCAACAACATCTAACATCCATGAATGAAGAATGTAAAACAAATAATATGAGAATCAACACTGAAAAGACAGAAGTAATGTCAATAGGAAAAAAGAAGACAGATCTAAACATAGCAATAGAATACAAAGGCATTAAATAGGCATCTGAGTTTAAATATCTGGGAACTACATTTACCGAAGATGGGAAATTGGATAAAGAAATTGACATTAGATGCAATAAAGCAAACCAAGTATTGGGACAGCTAGCCCCACTCTTACAGCATAAGACAATCCCAATCAGCACAAAGAGACATCTTATTCAAAGCATATTTATTCCAACTCTGTGCTACCAGTGCCAGACATGGTCACTCACAACAAACCATAAAAGAAAATTAGTAACCACGGAAATGAGATGTCTGAGAAGGGCTGTAGGAGTGACCATAAGAGATAAGATCAGGAATGAGATCATAAGAGAACAAGTCGGCACAGAACCAATTCTGGATTACATACAAAGACAGCAAGTGAAATGGTTTGCCCACTTAGAGAGAATGCCTTGTGACACCATACCATACAAAGCATACATGGAAAGAAAAGAAGGACATAGAGCACGGGGTAGACCAAGAACAAGATGGAAGGATAACATCAGAGAAACTCTACAACAGCACGATGTGCCTATAGTCGAGGCAGCCAGAAGAGCTAGAAACAGAACCTTATATCTCCCTCGACACCCACAGCGGTAAAAGAGGAAGTGAAGAAGAAGAAGAAGAAGATCATCTAGTAAGAATGTTGCCAGAACAACCACCAACATAGGTGCTACACATGAAAAGATCTGGTGTGAGCAAGAGGCCATCCTATGAGAAGAGGGATTGATGATTTTAAAGAGCTTCTACACTGACATGAAATGACAATATCAATTTCTGCCCATCGAACAAAATAAATACAACTGTATCCGTGCGTGTCTTTTCCATTCCATGTGTTGCACTTTCTAATCATATTTTTTGTTATACTTAGCATTCATATCTTTAGCTTATTGGACAAGTAGTATTACAACCTGTTATGTCCTGTGTCGTCTGAACATGGCTGCTTGTACCCTTTGATGCTTATTCACTGGTGCTTGTATAGACTAAAAAGAGTACAATAAATCTGAACGGCCACATCAACAGTCATGATCACATTACAAACAACCCTTGACTTTTTAGTTTTAAATTCTCCAGTTTTTACAAGTAGTCATATGACTTCAGAATTTAAACTTATGATTTCCAGTAAAGTGATTATATTTCCAATGCATTCATCATGCCCTTGATAATGAATTCACTTACAGTTTGTTGTCTAAGTTTCAGTTCCACCAAATACGGATTTTCTTCAAAGATGGTGGAATCATTAAAATAAAAGATTTGATTCATAAATTACATTTACTCTGATTTCGTTGAAACATCCTTGGCATTAACTGAGAGATATCTATATAAGTAAAAAGTCTGAACAGTTACCTGAATGTCCAAAGGAGGATACCAAGATACTGTCCTCTCCACACGCTGGGGCACAAAGTCACATATAACTCCGATATCTGCACATGCCTTCAAAATGAGATCTTTCTGCTTGTCCAAAGGTGCAACAGCTGGGTCTACAAAAACTGTCAACATCTGTTCAAAAGTTTATAAAATATGCTTAAATTAACTGCATGCAAAATAAGAAAGAAACAATGACAGTACATTTATCATTGCTCATGTTTCTTCATCTCACAAGATCACCATAAACATGGATCAGTTCAGTGTTTTTGTCTTGACACATCCATCTGGCCACGCCATCCAGGTATTTATCTCTTTGTCTTTATCATTTTCTCTTATTGTCAGTGTGTATACAAATGAAAATGTATTTATTGCAGATCAGATGTTGTTTATACAAATAAAAATTTATTTATTGCAGCTCGAAGATGTGTGTATGCAAATGACAGTTTATTATTGCTTGGAGCTGGATAAACAAATGTTTTTTTTTTAAATCTTTGCTTGAAGTTGTGTAGACAAATGATAATGTGTTTATCATTGCTTGAAGTTGTGTACACAAACAAGTTTATGACAGATACCATACAATCAACTCATGTACTGAATGCTGTATGCAGTTAGGATGATCTGTAGATTAGGTTAAAAAAAAGGTTAAAATTAGCGGACTGACTTCATTGCATTGGGTTTGATTCCATATGGTTCCATAGAACAGGTAGCGGCCTGCCGAAAGGGTCACACAGAGCAAGACCTCCTTAGCTCCAGTGATGATCCTTAGGGAACGCCGTAAAAATTGCACTTGGGAACTGAACGGTGCCGCAGTAAAGCGTGGCTTAGTGGGAGTTATGTCCCGTGGCAGCACTCAAAACAAGTCGCAGAAAAAGTCACGAATCAAATGGCATACTTACCTATCATCATCCGGTTGCATAGGGTGTCTATCATCGTCCTACGGTTGCGTGTAGGGCTGCTTATTGCGTGTAGGTTGGTTGTTTGCGTAAGATGAGGGGTAGGGTTAGGGTTTAGGGTTTAGGGTTTAGGGTTAGGGTTTAGGGTTAGGGGTTAGGGTTTAGGGTTTAGGGGTATGGTTCGATTTGAAAATTTTCACGTAGGAGGTCGAAATAGTGGCCGACAATCTGACGTTTGTGGGAGTGGCGCCACTGAAACTCTGCCAAATATGACGCCGTAGTTACCTATAATCGCGCACAATCGCATGCACGCGCAAACAGTCGGCGGGCGGTGGATGCTACTGACACGGACAATTCGCCAGCGACTGGGCACCAGCCGCCCGCTATTGGCGTCATATGTGGCAGAGTTTCAGTGGCGCCACTCCCACAAGCATCAGATTGTCAGCCACTATTTCGACCTCCTACGTGAAAATCTTCACATCTAACCATACCCCTAACCCTAAACCCTAACCCTCATCTTACGCAAACAACCAACCTACACGCAATAAGCAGCCCTACACGCAACCGTAGGACGATGATAGACACCCTACGCAACCCTACACGCACCCAGATGATGATAAGTAAGTATGCCATTTGATTCGTGACTTTATCCGCTCGATGTTTTGAGTGCGGCCACGGGGACATAACTCCCACTAAGTCCCGCTAAGCCGGCCGTAGCAGTCGAAGCAGTGCAGCTTACCGGCCAAATCTGCTAGGAGAGCCAAGATACGCAACTAACCTTTCCGATACTTGATAATAATAACATTATAAAATGTGCATTTGAGTTACAGTTAGCTAAATAAGTTAAAGTTGTTTAGTCTTATTATTTAATTAGTCTTTAAACTTATTTATTTTACTGAACTTTTTTTTAATTATTAACTGTTACTCTTGCGTCTTGATTTGATTGAGTTCAGTCCACGATCGAACACCAGTAATCGGCAAATGTGCTACAGTTCTACTACCCCACGGTAAAACAACCACAGTACTCACACTAGTTCCAATCTAACTCACATTAAATAGTTTGTATACTCGTGTGTACCTTTCCTGTACTTGTTCGTCCTTATTTTTGTTTGAAATTCCCTCTTTGTTTATTTTCCTTTCGTTTCTTTTGTCTTCCTGGTTTTGTAAGTTTTCTGTTATGATTTTTCGTTTTGCAAAAGTTGATTAGAGGTGGAGTCACCTTTATTTTTGTTCCGGGACACGCAGGCGTCGATGGAAATGAAAGAGCTGACAGGTTGGCTGGATCCGCTACCACTACCGACGGTCAGCCTATGGATCATGCTGATATTATCAATTCCCTCAGAGAAATGGGAAGAATAGAGGACTTTGGTGGCAGTGAATCCACATCACTCGCCAGAATGGCAGACTTGGGAATTAAGATCGGCACAGCAAAAAACGAGACGCACACCGGACACGTCAGAAGACTTGTTAATCAACATAGAACTGGTACTATTAGCCATCGGACGTTGGGGTTCATACTGAGGGGAGGATCTGAGCACCTATGGACATGTCCGAAGTGCAATGAGGATAACCCAACTAACTAACTAACTAACTAACTAACTAACTAACTAACTAACTAACTAACTGATTAGATTTAAGAACCGACATGCAGCACTCGAGGCATTCCCATAAGCGCCCCCGTCCCCATCTTCAGCAGCCAATGCAGAGTTCCAGTAACAAATGGTGCCAGTAACAGTCTGATTAAATTTCCTACTTGCCTTTCCCCTGAGCGTCGAGTTTCAGCCAGATCCCCCGTCACTAATCGCTGCATCGCTCTCACCAGACTGATGATACATTTTCTGTTCCGAAATGTATACGTGCTTCCATAAGGCTTTAACCACGTCTGCTTTATCATGTATAAATAAACCACCAGCTTGTGCAGAACCAGCCAATCTGTCCGCCGGTTTATTTCCCAACACACCTGTATTATCCGGGGAAAAACACCAGGCAATGCTCTACACACTTGAAACCCGAAGAGAAGTATGTCACTCGGCACGAAGCATGCCTGTCATCACCTTCTTCCCCATGTTTTCTGAATTAGGATGTGTGTGTGTGTGTCGTGCCAACGGAAAGCCGCAGTGACCGCCTCCACCTCCATTATTAAACAGGGTGCTGTGGTATCATATGCCAGGCTCTCCTGCACCAAACTTCGACTGTTAGCTTTTGCTAAGAGCACCCAGCCTTTTTTTTTGCCTCTTGACACTGAACCGTCTGTATAAATAATCTCATCACCCAAGCTAGCATTATCTTGACTTTCTATCTCCATGGCAGCTTCTGTTCAATCCGTGCGCTCACAACTCAATGTGATTATGACTACACAAATCTGACTGTTCCGCTGGCACTCTAGCCCACTTCTTCCCTTGCCAGATGTTGTCCAGGATGCAAACCTGTCTGATCGTGTCCTCCGCCTGAGCCATCCTTGACCTCACTCTTGTCAGCCGCAGACCCTTAACTGCATGGCGCTCCATGCAAGGGGTGTTGTGCGTCTGCAGCGACTCTGGTGTATGACTTCGCCTGCAGCACCTTCAACCTACCTGCAACAGTCGGCAAACCAAGGATGTATCGCATGCACACTACTGGGGTGTCTCTGGTACATCCTAAAATGCTAAAGTTGATCAGGCATTTTTTTGGTACTGTAGAGTGGTTTTTGTTCTTGCACCCGCGGACTATCAAAAACAAGGTAACTTGTGCGGATTATCTGACAGTAGTGGAGAAGACAGAAGATACAAAGAAAGACCTGCATATAGAACTTGACTGACTGGACACGCCTCAGACATGCAACCACGAAGTTCATCGTATCTGACCGCCAAATGTGGAGGGAGCTGATCAGACAGTCAACAACTGGTGAACCAACGACACGCAGTGTTACGGAATGATGTTGGACCACCTTGCAGTTAAACAAAAGCCAAATGTCGATAGAAGTTTATTTGTTAAATTTGATGTTTCCAAATTATCATGTTGAATAAAGAATCGACATCGCGGCACTCGGGGCACCCCCATAAGCGCACAGTCCCCATCTTTAGCAGCAAGCGAAGAGTTCTTGTTCCGATGGCACCAGTAACCGTCTGAATGTATATCTGTCTCGCGTTTCCCTTGAGTGTTGAGCGTCGGCCAAATCCCCTGGTTACTCCTCGCAGTGCCATTCTCAGACTGTAATGACCTATTTGTGCCTCCGCACTGTATACTTTCGGAAGCCCCGTTGAGTAGCGGCTGGACGCTCGCCCGGGGATCGAAAGTTCGTGGGTTCGGGTTCTGGCCGAGCCGGACGTTTTTCAAAAGTGACATTAGCTCCCAGGTCAACCCAGCCTTGAATGGGCACCCTAAAGAGGTCACTACCCACAGGTTAATAACCGCTTCTTTACAGTGTAACCGTTACCTATCGCGTACGATTTGACCACGCCACGCAACTGCATTTCTCTCTTATACCAGTGTCTCCATTAATTTTTGTTATTGCTCAAAAACGTGAAGAAACCTGGCGTCATGAGTCTTCTTCTTCGATTCTTCTGGCAGAAAATCATACCAGGAGGCCGGTAGCCTTTATGAAAGCTATCGTTCAGTCCATATTACCCTGTCTCTCTCTCTCTCTCTCTCTCTCTCTCTCTCTCTCTCTCTCTCTCTCTCTTTCTTTCTTTCTTTCTCTCTCTATCGTCTTTTTCTAGGTACACAGGTATTTACAAACACAGATCTGTAGATGGCTTTAAACAGGTATATACAAATAGATCTGTGGATGGCTTTAAACAGGTATATACAAACAGATATGTGGATGGCTTTAAACAGGCGTATACAAATAGATCTGTAGATGGATTTACGAGACGACACAGCATGTCTTCTGAGACATGCTGACGTCTTCTGAAAAATAATTGGTTGTTAATCCAAGATTTCCGTAGTGAGATAATGGACTTTGTGTATTTCTAGTCAAACATTTTGGTCAAAATAAATTTGTTTGTGGGCTTCATTATATTTTTAAATAAACCCTGTAACATCATAGATTTACGCTTCATAATGCCGGGGTGCCGGGCTCGATCCCAGGTCCGGGCCATGCTCCTTGTGTTGGTTTTGACAGTGGTATCAGGGAGTCGACCGTCAAGAAGCAATGGCAAACTACTGGACGTAAATTTGTCTAGAGAAACCAGACAGCAGCCAGTGGCTGCTGGAGTTGGTTCTGCAACATTCTGTAAAGGATACGCAACTAAAAAAATT